CTGAGGTATATCAAATACAGGCTATAATGACTGACGATGTGAATAGAAAGATGAGCTGAAGTTTTACAAAGGCAGTATTTAGACCTATCTGCTAATATAACAGCTGTGTAGTAATATTAGATGCTCCATTGGATGGAGTTGAAATGCAACATAGACAATGCACAGCTGTGAAGATGTCTTAATGAAGAAGGGGGCACTATTCGTATATTAAAATGGTGTCACTGTGCATCTTTTTTTTTTTGTTTTTTTGTTTTTTGTTTTTCGAGACAAGGTTTCTCTGTTTAGCCCTGGCTGTCCTGGAACTCACTCTGTAGACCAGGCTGGTCTCGAACTCAGAAATCCACCTGTCTCTGCCTCCCAAGTGCTGGGATTAAAGGCGTGTGCCACCACCGCCTGGCTGCATCTTTTCTTTAAATTATTTCTGTAATACTTTCTGCTACAAACTGAAGCTCCTTTGATGATTGGTAAGAATCCCAATGATCTAAAGATTTGCCTTAATTCTGACTCAGTGAAACTAATTCTTGGATTTCTAGCCTTCAGAGAAGAACACATTTTATCTGCTGACCTATCTTCCTGTTCCCACAGGTTCTTCTATGTTTAACCTTAAGTTGGTTTCAAGCCTTAAATATTGTAAACAGAGATAGTAAATCTCTAGATATTTTAAGCTACTAACTGTGTGAAAAAGAATCTTATGGTTCTTAAGATATCCTCTCATTAGTCAATTATGTCCAGAGTTTTATCCCAATTTTTATTTAAATAATACACCTCTTCTAAAATGCTATTTTAGTCTTCATAGCTAAGAGGTCAGTAGGTGACATGTGGTTCTATTTTCACATCTGATAATTAGTGTTTTCATAGTTTTATTTGAGGAAATTGAGTGATGAATAATCCAAAACAAAGCAAAACAGTGTAGTTGAACAGGAGGGCTTGCTGAGGATGATACCTCTGCTCCCTCTCCCTAATGAGCAGCACCATTCTGAGTGACAGGCTAGTAGGAGATATTTCATGAGAATTTTTGCTCTCAGGTAAGCTTGAAGAAATTGTTTTTCCCACGTGGGCAACTATATCTCTCATGTGTATATAATGTTTTTATGGATGCAAAGCAGATTTATACCATATTTTACTTAATGGTTTTTAAAATTGTATGCATATTAAAGAAACAGTGAATCAAAGTTAACCGGTGAAAGAAAGGCATTGAAGATGTGGGTTCTCAAGTCAAGCAGAACCTTTTTCAATTTTAGGGTGCTGCTTTCTAGTTAACAATCATATTCTCTCCTCATAGCATGTGGGTTCTAGTTCCTAAAGCTTGGAGTCGAACACATTTTATCTGCTGACCTATCTTCCTGTTCCCACAGGTTCTTCTATGTTTAACCTTAAGTTGGTTTCAAGCCTTAAATATTGTAAACAGTCTTACAGTAAACCTTGATGTTTAACTATATCAGTGATAAATAGACTTGAAGTCCTTTGAGGAAACACTTGGGAGTGTTATATTTTCTTGTGAGGGAATCTGAAGTTATCAGTGAGAGTACACTGCCACTGCTACAGGTAAATGGAAGTAGATCTGAGAGGTGTCAAATGCTACCTTGGAAGGACTTGGTATGTGATTGCCAATGTAACATGTACTCCTGGGTCCAGGAGAAGAAAGTTGTTCATCGTGTGCTTAATTGTGTATCATTTACTGTTATGACTGATGATCAGAGAATTCATTAATGAAAGTCTAAGGAACTGAACACATCAGCTAGTTCTTGGAGGAAGGAGTGGAATTAGAAAGATGGATATAGAAAGAAAGGGAATATTTAATGTGGGTTCACATTTTAAGCAGAAGAGAATTTTTTCTTTGGACTTTCCACAGGAGATGTGGCTCAGCCCTAAAGAAGAAATGTTCTTTCAGAGGACTCGGGATCAGTTGGTTCACAAACATTGATGACTACTAGTTCCAGAGACTCTCATGCCTTCTTCTGTCCTCCATAGGCACCAGACACACATGCAGCTCACATACATAACACGCAGGCAAAACATGTCTGAACACAAAACAATAGATCTTTAAAAAGTCTTAATTTCCCCAGTTTTTCCTGTTCCTGCTTGACTCTCTTCATTATTGTTTCCTTTTATCCACAAACTCACATTTCCCTTTATATATATCTTTACTAATGCTCTTTTCTGAAGCTTTGCACAACACAAGATGGGACTTTATTTTTTAAATAAACCTTAAGTTTCTGAAAACAAAATTGGGTAGTTGTTTCAGTTTTATTGGTGACATTGAATACTTGTAAACTGGAGTGCTGTGATCATGATCAGAAATTATCTTCATATGTCCTAGTTTAGAAATAGTAGATTTTTGGTGGTTGATTATTTTATACTGAACTTAAGGAGCCTAATCCACAAGTAGTTGCTAAAGTACAGCAAAATGCACACTTATCTTAAACATAGGAATTTAACATTGGAACTGGAATGGCCTGTTTGCTCTCTATACAGTTTATAATGTCTATAAAGGCTTTGTAGATAATAGGGACTCACACAATATGTTGAAGAAATGATAACAATATGTGGTGTAAATACAGATATAAATTCTATAATTACTAATTGAAATGATGATGGTACTTAAAATTTTGCCTTTAAGAACTCAATTTTTTACTGTTAAACTTTGAATTAACCTTCACTGTAGTTACGTCATTATTGATTATCCTGTTACACTTCATAAATATATTCAATTTTTGTGTAGCAACTAAAAGTATTAGTGATTTATAACTTAAAACACAAATATTAAAATATTACTCAGAGAACATATATATAGTCTTTTATAGGAGGAATACATATGCCCAAAGAATTTTGTCATGACTTTTTATCTGTCTCTTTTATTATTTATAAACCATCAAGGCAGCCATACTAAGCTATAATATATATATATATACATATACATATATATATATATATATATATATATATATATATATATATATTGTATTTCAAAATTGAAACGATCTCAAGATAGCTAACATAACTGAGTGTGTGCTGTGAATTGTTAGGCGTTACAATTTGCTTTTTGTGGAATAAGAAAGTAAAGCAAATTTTGACTGCATTTGAGAGTTCTGGCTTTCCATGCTGTAGATTATCTGGTGTTTTGTTTTTTTAATTTTACTACATTTTATCAAAGAAAACCATTTCTTCCAAGTTATTTGTGTTTAGTAATGATGGTTAAACAGAATAAACTCCATTCCATCTTCCCTGATTTCTCCTGAATGAATGTTACATATTCCTGCATTGTATGTAATATATCTGCTACTATAGAATTTTGTGTCTTGCATATTTGTGCTGGAAAATGACCTTAGCTTTATTTATGAACTAGATTCTAAGTGACAGGTACATTGTCCTCCTACAGGCTTTATTTCACATACTGGACTACCTTCTACTGAGTTCTGTCATACAAAGCAAAACATAATCTGGACGGCAATAAAAATCTTTTCTTCTTTTAATAATAAAGACACTTCCCACTTTTTGCCATCATGATAGTAAAGTAGAAGATAGTTGTTCAATAAAAGCTATTTCATATATATAATATACAGAAGTTATTTTAAAAGTGTCATATAACAGATTCATTTGGTGCTACCAAAAACTTACAATATAAATAAATGTCCACAAAGGTAATCACTAAACTAAGACACACAGTAACTGCATTTCATTTCAGGGGAAAAATCCAAAGAATTTCTATTATGTTAGAGGAATTATGTTCATTTGGCATAGTGTGCATCCGCATATTCTCTTTATGCAGAGACCTCTCAGAATCTTTACGTTTAAAAATGTTGAGGTATAATTCTGTCTGTACATTCAAGGCCAGTCATTTTCTGATTATACAATGCTTGCATTGTGCAAAAATCCCTGAGTTATTTGTTTTCTAAGGTATAATGTCAAATGAACGAATATCATCCATTTACTGACCAAACTGTCAATCAGAGAAATACATAAACCAAGCTGCTTAGCTTCCTGCCATAGTATAGCTACTCCTAGACCCGTTTCCTCTATGTATTAGAACTAACAGGTGTCAAAGTGAGAATTTACTACTGCAGCAAATGACAGAATATGGAATAAGAGTTTCTCATGTCCAAAAGCCTTTGCCATCCTATAATACAATCTCTACAACTGTATGTGTATAGGCAGAGGAACTAGGAAACCAGAGTAGGTTAAGACAGGTATATGAACAAAGTGAACACTGAGATATCACACAGTATTAAAACATTGAAGTCTTCCCAGCTTACTAAGACAAGCAGAGCAGATGTCAGTGTAACTTTAACCTGATCATTTATTTCAGTGTTTGTGGGAATAGGGAAAACCAGTTTGGATGAAAACCACTTTCATTCCTTTTTTTTTAAGCACAAAGGAAATGAACAGGAATTGTAGTTTATTGATCAGACAACAGCTCAGATGCCTCCTCAATTAGCCAAAACAAGCTAATGATAAATGTCTAAAAATCTCTTTGCTCCTAAATATTTATCCACCTATATATCCCATTTGATGAATAGGCTTTTGATTAAATCAACAAAAACATCAAAGTACCCCCAAACATTTTGTAAAGAGTATCACCATCTAGAATTGCCAAAAATAAATTAGTTTCTCCTATGATGTTATTTAATATAGTAATTAAACAATAAAAAGCTATATAATATCTTATAAAAATTAATCAGTGCTTTTACAAAGTAAAGTAGTTTTGGATTACTGACATTACACTGTATTTGTGAAATATGAGGCACATGAATATATGCATTAATTAGGCATTTTCTGTCTACTGAGGCTCTATCCTCTTAATTCTTAACGATATATAGATTATGTGTATTTTGTTAAGCCGTGAATAGTAAAAAACAAGAAGCAGTATAGTATAGTAACAAGGTTTGTATTTGACAAACGACTGCTAGGCCGAACACATTTTTTTCATGAACTTTGTGATTCCAGTTGCAGATGTTCACTTTCTGTAGCTCCTTGATGGACTCTTCAATATTCTTGCTGTCTCAGTCTGCAGTCTCTGACATTCCTTCATCTTCGTCGTCATCATTTAGATCTTTTGAAATTAAGAGTCTGGCTAATTTAATATTCAGTCCTTCGTTGTAGTGAAGCTTCCTTTTTATTTCAAACTGCCGCTTCTTTTCCAGCTCTTCAGGAGTGAGGTTATTATCTTCCTCTCCACTACTTTCTTGTTCTAGATTCATATCCTTTGGCTGGGAGACTTCATCAACAGCTAATTTTCTAGTTACGAAATCTGGATTCATCATTTCACTGCATTCTGAATCACTATCAGCATCTTCATTGTAAGCTATCATATTGCGGTAGCAAGTGTTTGGCTCATCTATTTTCATCAAACCATAGTCTTTGTCAGCTGGATGATATGTTGCCAGGATGTTCACTTCATCCCACTTCTGGGATTTTTTACTCAGCTTCTCTTTGATGGTCCGGAGGGGCTGTTCGGCCGAGGCCACTCCTGGTGAAGCCACAGAAGTCTTGTTCTTCAGGATTCCTTTGATGGGCCGGTGCGAGGTCATTGAGGCCTCCATTACTGGTCCTTGCAGCTGGTGTAGAGTCCTGGAGAAGAAGAGGTTGGTCACTGAAGAGACCCCTCTGGGCAGCCACGGAGCCCAGGCTAGTCTAAAGCAGGCATACCCACTGTCGCAGAAACTGCCTGAGTAAGTGATGACACAATGACTGCCACGTCACAGTTGACTGTGCGGAGGTCTGCTCTCTGCCTCTGCAAAGTAGTCCCTCTGCCCCTTACAGAGGAGGCCTGCCTAGTGCCCAATAAAAATCTTTTCAATGGTTAGTGGTTCAGTCTCCCCGAGGGGGGCAATGAGTAGAATGTAAGGTGAATAAGATAATGGACTGAACCTCTGAAATAGTAAGCCAGCCCCAATGAAATGTTTTCCTTGATATAAAAAAATGAATTTGAGCTGGAGAGATGGCTCAGTAGTTATGAACACTTCCTGTTCTTCCAGAGGTCCTGAGTTCAAATCCCAGCAACCACATGGTGGCTCACAACCATCTGTAACGTAATCTGATGCCCTCTTCTAGTATGTCTGAAGACAGTTACAGTGTACTCATGTAAAGAAAATTAAAATGGATTTTTTTAAAAAAAAGAATTTAATTTAAAAATTCTTTTCAATTAATAAAATGTCAATACCATTTTAATCACTGGTCTCTCCTAAAGCTGAGTACAGGAAAATTTAGAGAAAGCTCAGTGAGAAATATCTTTCACCTCAAAGAGAAGAAGTATCACATGGACTAATTTTCCTGTGAAGTAAGCTCTTTAGCTATCAGATTTAGTCTCTATGGTAGGCCCCCTTCCTACCATTGCCACTAATCTTGAAACTACCTTAGCATTCATGTTGTTCTGCGTTTTATAGGAGAGATATTTTTTAAAGTCCTTTTTATCTTTCAGATTTTATTTTTAGTTATTTCCTTTACTACATCACAACTAAATTAAAATGTCATATGCAAAATTCTTGATGCACATGAAAATAAAGGTACACTTAGGAAGAGAAATTATACCGTCAACTAAGACAATGCCCTCAAATTAATGGAGTGATTTCTATGTGATTGCAAATTGGTAGTTTTAATAATTGTCCTTGTTATCATCTCTTTTCTCTCACATATACCCACAAAAAACAAAACACACACACCAAAAAAAAAACTGCACACATGTCTGTGTCTCCACATTTTTGCTAAGCGCAGCTAACTGCCAAATTATAAAGTAGATTTTTAGAAGAAAATCAAAAGCTAAATATTGAATACACATTACACATTGCTGATAATTGTAACATTTCACTTTGCAATTGACATAATCCTGGAGTGAGATTTCAGATCCATTGTGATCTTAAAACTCTGCAGTCCAGTTCCTACTTTGGGCCATGTTTGCTTTGAGTTTTAAAGTCCTAAGTTGTTCATTGCTTACAAAGGAGGCCAGGATTCACATAAGGGCATTGCATATTTCTCTAATCCTAGCTTCTTGATTTTTATAAATAGAGCTGTCATCAAGTGAAACAGCCTTCTTAATAATTCTGGTAGCCTTTCTTTGGAAAATATAGATGTTCTATTTGTTTCCAAAGAGAAAATGATCTTGCTTCTGCTTGCTTCAGGGACTTTGAGTTCCTGAATGACTGATCTGGACTTCTCCTTTAGAAGATAACATACAGATTTCCTGAGAAATAATTATATCAGTCTGGTAACAGAACAGGCTATCATTATTCACTATGCTGACAAAAATTATGGTGACACTCAGATAGACTTCTCGGAAAACCTAATTATGTCACAGCACTACAAGAGTAAGCAATTTGAGGGATAATGTTCATTGTCAAGCAATAGATAGCATTAGCAGGTGAGCAAATGCCCCCAAAGAACTTTAAATATTTCATTGCCATAGAGACACCTTTTTGCAAGTGTTCTTGATCCGGAACAGCATTAATATTCAGTTATATAAAACAGCCTAATGAAAGATGCTACATTACTCCTTTACCTTCCTCCTGATCCAAGACTGAGTTCTAATCTCTTCAGTCTTCCTTAGTTGTCGTTTTGTTGCTGTGACATGTTTGAAAACTTGTTCCATGTCAGTTATGTATTTTTGGTTAGACAGGAGTGGGGGCAATAATTGTTCTCTGGAGCTTATAGGAGTTATTTTCATATCTAATAGAATAATTGTTGTAAAAGTACTTTGGGATTCACCCTCATAAGTATTTTCTTTTTAGCTCATTATGTATCTTCCCTTATAGAGTAGGGGATTCAAAAGATGCTCATTTCCTCTCCACTGATGTCAACATGTTTCTGTTCAATACCTCCCACACAGAGCAAACAGGATGAGAATGTATTGACAAATCCAATTCTCTCAGGAAACCAATAACCTTTGATTTAGGAGTAATTCAAGCTAGCTTTGAGGAAATAAAGAATAAAATGGAGTCAGCCCCTAATGGGAGTTCCTAAAGCATAGTTTGGATACCCACAGGTATCTGGAATGTTAAGACTAACTTCAGATGGCTCTATGTATAAAGCACTTGCTACATGAGCCACATGATGAATTGATTTCAGTTCATCACACCCCATATATAGGGTGTTAAGGCCTAGTTGCAATATCAATACTAGAGACAAGGGATTCCAGGAGTGAGTTTGTTATCCAAAGTAGCTATATCAGTATTGGGGTTCAGTTGAAAGACCCTCTATCTGAAATAAGTAAGAGAAAGACAACTAAAATCAACCTAAATCTTCAATATGTATGTGTACACATGTGCCTAATGTGAGCCCACATATGTGAACATGCATATTCATATAAAATATATTATGCCATCACTTGCTTCCTCCTTCTCTAAGGAATGTAAGATAGAGTTCTGCAGTGGCTAGGTGGTATTCAGGTCATAGCAGCACAATAGTTGTGTACAGAAACATATATAAGAATCATACAGTATTCTAGTAAACAAGGTATTAAGTATCTCTCCTTCCCTCTCTCCCTCCCTTTCTCCCCTCTCCCTTCCTTCCTCCAATTATCTGTCTTTAATATCTCTCAACATTAATGGACTCAATTCCCCCAATAAAAAGATATAAGCTAATAGAATAGATACACAAGCAGAATCCAGCATTTTGCTGCATACAAGAAACATACCTAAATAACAAAGACAGTTACTATCTCAGAGTAAAAGGATGGAAAAAATTATTTCAAGCAAATTGTCCCAAGAGACAAGTAGGAGTTGCTGTTCTAATATCCAATAAAACAGACTTTCAACCAAGATTTATCAAATCAGATGGGGAAGGACACTTTATACTCATCAAAGGAAAAGTCCAACAAGAGAAAATCTCAATTCTGAACATCTATTACCCAAATGCAAGGGCAACCACATTCATAAAAGAAACTTTACTAAAGCTCAAAGCACACCTTGAAACCCACACAATAATAGTGGGAGACTGCTACACCCCACTCTCACCAACGGAAAGGTCATTTAAAGAGAAATTAAACAAAGAAACAATGAAATTAGTAGAGGTTATGAACCAAATGGATCTAACATATATCTACAGAATATTTCACCCTAAAACAAAAGAATACATTCATTGTCTTCTCAGTACCTCATGGTACCTTCTCCAAAATTCACAAAACAAGCCTCAACTGATACAAGAAGATTCAGATAATCCCACACATCCTATCAGATCACCATGAATTAAGGCTAGACTTCAATAACATCAAAAAGAACAGAAAGCCCTCATACCCATGGAAACTGAACAACCCTCTACTCAATGATGACCTTGTCAGGGAAGAAATAAAGAAAGAAATTAAAGACTTTTTAGAATTTAATGAAAATGATGGCACAACATACCCAAACTTATGGAACACAATGAAAGCAGTGCTAAGAGGAATATTCACAGCACTAAGTGCCCTCCTAAAGAAATTGGAGAGATCTTAAACTAGCAGCTTCACAGCACACATGAGAACCATAGAACAAAAAGAAGCAAACACACCCAATAGGAGTAGGCAGCAGGAAACAGTCAAACTCAGGGCTGAAATCAACCAGATAGAAACAAAGCAAAAGATACAAGGAATCAAAAGAACCAAAACCTGGTTCTTTGAGAAAATCAATAAGATAGATAAACCTGTATCTAAACTAACTAAAGGCCACAGAGACAGCATTCAAATTAACAAAATCAGAAATGAAAATGGTTTCAGTGTTGTTTCCACAGAGACCCAAGATTTTGTGTTAGCATATATGTATGTCAGGCCTACATAGTGACCTGTCCCCTGAACCTTCACCCAGCTGATACCCTGTTCTGAAAGATATCTGTACTCCCCCTGAACACCTATGCTCTGGTGTCATCCCCTTCCCCACATTCTGCCTTTTTGTGTTTATAACCCCTGTGTGAATAAGTAAAAATTACAATTTAATTTAAATAATTAACTAAATAAATATAAAAGAAAAAAGAAATGAAAATGGTTACATACCAACAGAAAATGAGGAAAATAAAAAAATCATCATATTCTACTACATTATGTAAAACAGCACCCCTTTGTGTTAAAAGTATTGGAGATATCAGGAGTTCAAAGTTCATATGTAAACATAACAAAAGCTATATACAGAAAATCAACAGCCAGTATCAAATTAAATGGAGAAATACTTGAAGCAATCCCACAAAAATCAGGGACAAGTCAAGGCTATCCACTGTCTTCATATCTATTCAATATAGTACTTGAAATTCTAGGTAGAGCAATAAGAAAACAAAAGGAGATCAATGGGGTGCCAATTGCCAATGAATTAGTCAAGATATCACTATTTGCAGATGACATGATAGTATATATAAATGACCCGAAAAATTCTACCAGAGTACTTCTACAGCTGATAAACAACTTCTGCAAAATGGCTGGATATATAATTAACTCAAACAAATCACTGGCTTTCTTTATAGAAATGATAAATAAGCTGAGAAAGAAAATAGGGAAACAATACCCTTCACAACAGTCACAAATAATATAAAATATCTTAGGTAACTAACCAAACAAGTGGATGATCTGTATGACAAGACCTTGAAGTCT